AAAGCAATGAGGCCTAGCAGAAGTAGTTGGCATGGTCATTTTCTTTGTTTCAAAATAGAGGTTCAAAACACTTGTGTAAGTTGGTGAAAACACGTCTTTCTTCTATCAAATTGGCACTCAGATTGAAGATATTTCTTTAAAGGAAGTAGTTAAAGTTATATAGTGAACATATAAGACAGTCAAATTGTGGGATTGATCGTAAAACAGAACATGACCTACAAGCCCAATATATTGGTAGCTCATCCAAGTAGGAAAAGGAGCTCGCCAATATATCGGCTGCTCGGAGACAAAGAGTTAATAAGTAAGCTTACTGGTGCTGCCTTTACAGTAAATGCTTAGTTTAAGTCAGTTTAAAACAATGAACAAAATACTTAATTGAGTGACTCTGGAAACAAAGTGGGTCAGGTGAATTAGGGATACTGCTTCTACCTGCACCATGGTGAATATCATTTCTCAGCTATTTTACGTGTGGTACACTGTTAGCCAGCACATTAAAAGTTGACTAACATAATTTATTGTAATTTAAATGAGCTAGCACTAAGGTTGACCCCATTAGGTGAGGTTAACAAGTATCACATTTAGATTAAAATAAAACCTAGTATATTACTGGTAAAGGTCCTGTGGTTATTAAAAGCTGTGGGGCAGCAATGAATGTTTATCCCAACATAACCATGTATCCAGGGCCTCTTGGGAAATATCCTGGTGGTTCAGCCTGCCTCTGATTATACCTTTTTTTAAATCTGCATACAGTAGGCTTCCTCATGGTTATGTTCACTCACTTTATGTACTTCTGTTAGCAATACAATTTTATAATTGCTTAGAGGGCAAACCAAGGCTGAGATAGCTTTGGGTGAGTAGAGGTAAGTACCTATGAGAAATACATTTTCAGTATAAGAAAATGTTAACATATATCTTCTCTGCATCCACTGTGGTACAATATTCATTAACCTTTTTCCATTATCTATGGCAGCTGTGTGTGGATAGATACTTAAGATGCCATTTTACACAGGGTATTTAGATTTTCTTCTACATTGTAATGGGGCCAGCAGTGGATGCATTTTGAGCAGGCCACATTTCTCTGGCCTTTTTGTTGTTTTTTTTGTGTGTAGTCGATTTTAGAAGTCTGTAATATATTATTCATTCAGCTTGTATACCAGAAGCATTAGATAGTTTTTCTTCTGTTCCCAACTTTATAGTGTAGATTCTTGTTAAAAATTATAATAATAGGGATAAGGTAATGTATTCCAAACTAAAATATACTTCAAAGAGGTACCACAGCTTTTGGATTTTGAGTCTTAACCTCTCACACCAGTGGGTCATGTGAGAAGATACTATTTAATAAACACAGTGGAGTAAAGATACTATAATGTGACAGTATTTTATAAACACAGTGGAGTAAAGATACTATAATGTGACACTATTTAATAAACACAGTGGAGTAAAGATACTATAATGTGACACTATTTTATAAAC